CACCCGCGTCCGCGAGGAGGAGATATCGGACGATGAACGCGTTCGGGTTTTTGTGAAAAAAAAAAAGAAAATAAGCGCGGAGGGAGTGTTTCCGTATCGCGCGATTTTTTATTCGCATACCGCCGTACCACATCGCGACGCCAATGACAGTAGACAAACAACGGCTCGTGTCGATGCTCGAGGGCGTGGGCGAGTTCAAGCGAGAGTTACACGGCGGAGACTCAAAGGAAGCTTTTAATAATTTTGTAATTTGTTGTCCGAAGAGCGAAAAGCGCCGATCTTCATAACGCCAGGCGAGTGTAACTTCCTTTTCTTCCCCCCTCCCTCCTCTATCACCGTCCTCTTTTTTTTTGTTTTCCGAAACTCGAATCGTTACTAACCTGAGGAGCCGGAAAATTACACGCGAGATCTTATCGCCGCACGGAGAAGGCCGGGGCCATGATTGGTTGTACGTATTCTCTTGTTTCTCCTCGTTACTCTCGCCGAACGCGAGAATCTTTCGGGAACGCGACGCATCGATGCGTCTCCGCCTCTTAACAGGCGCTTGACGTTTAATCCCCTTATACGAATGCGAGTCACGGAGTATAACCTAGGTTGATTGGGAAAATACGGGGTCGTCGGTCCACGGACGACCCATCGTTTCGGTTTGCACGGTGACGTGACGTTAGTCGTGATTTACAGCCGATCTCGCTCTCTCAGTCGCGGCGAGATATCGCGCATATGGAAAAAGACGTTCGATACAACTCGCGGGATGTATCGTGATATATCGTGATATATCGTGGTATGCGTAGAGGCAAAAATGAAGACAGTTTTCTCATGTAATGAAACTCGGAGATATCGATCGAGCTGAAAAAATCACTCAAAGCTCAATTAGATCAGTCGTTACAGCAGTACGATTAATTGATGCTACCTCTGTTCAACTAAAGCTGTTGTGTAAATATAGAGGAGAAGATGATATTATAATCGCCTCCTCTGATATCCCCGCTATTAGATAACGAATTTTAGTGATTACTTATGAAATCACTTGTTTAGTAGCCCGCCATTACATAGCGGCGATAATATGCCATTACATAATATCCGGCATTTTTTAGTGCATTTTTAATTTCGAACATTTCGAAGCGTTTTTAAGGTATATTTTAGTATTTAATTACACATATTTCCTCATTCTTCCTAAATTCAGGCCCCATTCTTCCTCAATTCATATTTTATTCTGATGTATACATCTCAAGTTATGCAAAGTTAAACAATACCGTAGCATTTATTAACTTGGCCCTTTATTAAAATAAATTTAATACGGCTTCTTTTTCGAGGTTTTCTTGTCAAAGTAGTTATTCGACAAGTCAATAATTTTAATTGAGCTTAAAACTCTACTCGTTTTGTAGAAATTGTACTTTTGACAATTTGTATCTACCTTCTGACAAGCAAATCGATATCTGTTAAAAATTCACGGTTATATTCATTGTTGTTCCTTTTAAGAGTTATTTTGAATAAATTTGTAACAAAACACTATGTTTCTTAAATAAAGATTCTTTATTAAAAATATGGAGAAGAACAATTCTTTAAATCTATTTTAGTGAGAAGTCACATTACTACCTCTGTTTCTCTTCGACTTATTATGCAGTGCAGTCGCCACATTTTTATAAATAATCCTAAGTATAATAAGTCCTAAGTAATAAATATTTCATAACTTTTAGTCTAGGATCGATTGAACAAAACTTAAACGAATGTAATCGTTAAGTTTTTGATCCAAAATATTGATTATTAACAAACTTATTGTACAAAATGGGGGACCATAATACCAACTATTTTTTTACAGGCCTCGCGCCTGTCCTTCGCTTCGCGCGCTCACTTCGATAACACGACCGTGCATCTTGATTTTTATTGTTTTATTTTTTTTTCTTTCGAGAAGGGACCGTTAATGATTGCCGCATCTCTCGCTTCCGTTGCGTACTTTCTTTGAAGGTGCGCGATGGTTACCCGTCCTCGATCGACGGAAGCAACGATGATTCTTATGCTCGCACATAATGGAATACACTTTCGTCGCCGTTCCCTTTTTGCCGCTCGGTCGTCTCGGTCGCTCGAAATGAGAACGAGTGTCTCAAAAGAGCTTTGTGCGCGCGTCTCCATCAGCTTCGATATTCGTACGTTCTTTTATGTCGACACGTTCTCTCCTCCCCGCCGAGGATTTCTCACTGGGAGAGAAAGAGAGAGAGAGAGAGAGGAGAGTGCCGTTAGGCCGTTTCGCGGTGTGCGACATAAAGCGTGCTGTTTGCCGCTTGGATTTTCCTCCTTTTCGGTACTCTTTAGCTCGAAAGGCGGATACGGACTCGGAGGCAGTCGCGCGGAAAATTCCACACACCCGAGTCGATAACTACCCCTCGTGCAGTGGAAATCTAAAGGGGGAGGAGGGGAGGGGGGGAGGAACGGGGAGGGTTCCGCGAAATTTGCGGATCCGTAAACCGCTTTTACATTCTCGGCGTGAGCACGCCTGTAAATCTCGTGACGTCACTTTAATCTCGCTCTCTCGGTGTATTTGTCTCGCGGCGTTTTACCGACGGCAAACGTCCCCTCCGTCGTCGTGCGTGCGAAAAACTTTCCCGAGACATGCTAAAATCCGCCTGCAATAATGAATAACCGTACAATTAATGCGGCCGTACGCGCACTGCCTGCATTCTTGCGCGCGACGGTGAGACGGAAAGTTAATGGAAAGTTCATCCCCGTCCGGCCGGGGCGGGATAACTTTCGTCGCGTCGCGTTTACAGTGCACCCGTAA